GGGTCAGTACAAGTCAGGGAGTCAGTACTAGTGAATGAGTCAGTACTAGTGAGGGAGTCAGTACTAGTGAATGAGTCAGTACTAGGGAGGGAGTCAGTACTGGTGAGGGAGTCAGTACTAGGGAGGGAGTCAATATTGATGAGGGTTTAACTGCACTGCAGACAAATGGTGTCAGCTGAAGAGAAAAACCTGATCTTTGATTTCACTTGAGGAAATTGTCTCCACCATCACAGCTGTTTGTCTTTGTGTCACAGGTATGAACGTTTCTCTAAAGCAGCACTGTAGGAAGAAGGCATTAAGCAAATGAACATGCTAAACTCTATGAATCTAGTTTCATTTTACCTTGAAGCCAAGGGCAGCAGCCATGTGTGCAGGGGTCCAGCCATCAGTGTTTGTCTGATTCAGCAGCACAGCAGGCAATGCCAGTGTGGTGGGTGCATAAGGACCATCCTCACAAGTTGGGTGGCAGAGGAGAAGACGGAGCATGTCCACATGTCCTGAACGGACGGCAGCATGCAGCGCCGTGCAGCCATCCTGTGGTAGAGGTAAAGGTGAGGTTTAAAAGACAGAAACCATGAGCAAATACTAGACATGATGCAGCAAAACAGGCCCCACTTTCTAAATGTGGCATTAGTAATATTGTTCAAAATAGATCTAGCAGGATTTGCTTTTTAACATCTGGTTCAAAAAGGTGCTGAAAGGTACTCCAGCTGGGGACTGCTTTTTATCGCTAAGGGAACTCAATGCCCACGTGGGTAACGACAGTGTGACCTAGATTCGGGTGATTGGGAGGAAAGACCTCTCTGATCTGAACCTCTGCGATGTGAAGTGGTGGTGAATTGGATCAGATGGAGGTAGAAGACGCAGGAAAACCCGAATGCCTGACAGAAGAACCAGTCAGAAGGGTCTTGGACACACACCTTAGAGGAAACTTCAACCATATCCCAGCTGAGGCAGGGGATACTGAGTGAGTGGGCCTTATTCCACACCTCCATGGTCAAGGAGGCTGCCTTGTGCTGTGGCCGCAAAGTTGTTGGTGCCTCTCGTGATGGCCATCTGCAAACCCAATGGTGGACACCCTGACGGAGGGAGGTCCAGCTCAAGTGTCAAGCTAAACTAGGAGTCTTATCAGATCATGTTGGTTTGTAGGACCCTGGGGGCAGCTGAGAAGTATGGATGGGCCAAGCAAGCTGAAGCCCTGGCTGTTGCAAGGAAGCCAAGATTCAACATGTCTGCTGGCTTCCTTAGATAGAGAAATTTACTAATTGGATTCTCTATGTATGTGAATGTTCCTGTAAAGTGCCCTGAGAAAACTTTGTTGTGATTGGGCGCTATATAAATAAATTGAATTGAATTGTTCAGATGTGGAAGGAGTTTGGTCAGGCCTTGGATAGACTCTTGATTGGCTCAGAGGAAGTTTAGGCAAATCATCAGGTGGCTGAGGTGGGGAAAGCAGCACTTTACTAACAGTGTATAGTGGAGGTGGTATCAATCAGTGATGTTGTCACAAGGAGGAAGGAATACTTCTTAGACCTTGTCCTCGGGAGGACGTGATCTGCCCTGAGTTCCTCAAGGCTCTGGACGTTGCTGAGCTGTTTTGGTCGATAGCTTTGCAACATTCTGTGGACATCAGGGGCAGTACCACTGGATTGGTAGATGAGGGTGGTAGTTCCCCTCTTCTAAAAGGGGGACTGGAAGGTGGATTCTTATTATATGGGCATCACTCTCCTAAGCCTCCGCAGTAAGGCCCATTCGGGGTACTGAAGAAGAATGTCCCATTAATGATGAAACAAGATTTAGGAGAAACAATGCAGATACCTTCCCAGAAATGGATGGATGAATGAATGAATGGATGGATGGATGAATGGATGGATGGATGGATGAATGGATGGATGAATGGATGGATGGATGGATGACTGGATGGCCTAATGTCTGTAAATGTTGTGTTGTATATGACAGTTCTAAAGAATCAAATCTCCATCAAATGTCCATAGACCCTGAAAATGAAGTTTTACAACTGGTTTCATTACCATGATAATTAGTTTGATTAAAAGAATACTAACTAAATTATAATCTAACTGCAGCTCTGTCTGATTAGCTCTCAGCTGATGAATTCTAATTCTTGACCTAATAAACAACATTTCTGCTGGCTCAGAAAGTCTGTGCTGTGCTCAGGAGGTTCCATGTTCAGCAGGAAAAAACTGCTTCAATGTAGGACGAGGCCGATATCTAAATATAGGAGGTCATCACATGAGCCCATGGCAAATCAGAGGTTCCTATTGTTACCATGGAAACCTGGGAAGCCTGCACATCAATGAGCTTGCACTGTTCAGTCACTGAGAATACCGTGAGCTGAGCATGAAACCAAGAATAGTGTGACTGAAGAGTGACGAACTGTGGAACAAACGAGCAGGGATGGATGGATGGATGGATGGATGGATGGATGGATACGGATATCAAAGTATAAACTGAAAAAAGAAACATCTATAAAGAACCTAAACCCAGAGGACTGGTCCACCATGATGAATGTATCTTCCTGTTTATGCCAGATTATTATTACAGAAATGACATTTTTTACAAAAATGCTAAGGACTGAATTACTTTCATAAAGCAGCTAAAACTATTCTTCACTTTCTGCCACTTGTCCACAGTTCGGTTGTGAAGGCAACAGGTCCAGGGGAGAAACCCAGACCTCCCCCTCCCCAGAGAGACTATCCAGCTCCTCCTGGGGGGCAGAAGTTCCCAGACCAGAGAGGAAGAACAATTCCTTCAGTGACTTCTGGGTCTTTCCCAGACCTCTCACCAGTGGGACCTGCCAGGAAACCTCCACAGGGACGCATCCTGACCAGATGAACCTCCTCAACGGATCCTTTCGATGCAGAGGAGCAGCAGCTCCAGACTCGCCCCACACAGCGGAGCTCCTCCCCATCTCGAAGGCTGAGCCCCCACCACAAAGGAAGTCCATTTCAGCCACCTGTATCCAGGACCCGTTTTTTTCTGTCCTGACCCAAACCTCATGACCACAGGTGAGAAATGGAATGTAGACAGGTGAGTAAATCTTTGTCTTTTGACTCAACCCAAGCAACGTCCTCATTACTGAGGACGATCTGTCGCTCCGTCCTGCCATCACGCAGGAACAAGAAGCTAAAACTGAGTCACTAAATAAATAAATAATAAAGGAGAATGGTAGCAAAAGCTAAGAATAGCCAAACAGTAGCTAAAATCCAAAAAAGTTCAATCTGGTCCTCTGGACATTTAAAAAACAAACAAAAAAACAAAAAACAAAGCAAAAAATGTAGAAACGTTTCGTCTCTCATCCTGAGGACTTCCTCAGTCTGAGGTGCTGTATTCAGCTCAGTCTCTTAAATAGCACCTTCTCAGAGTGGATCAACCAGTTTGCTGCTGACAACCAGAACCAGCTGATCACATGCTCAAGAAGGACCATCAGCCTAACAATGGATCATTAGCACCTGATGGCTGTTTACTGTTCACAGAGGGCTGAGTGATACTAGCAATCACAGCAGTGTAAGAGGGGGACAGTTGAACCTGGAGGCTCCGCCCCGTTTAATGATGGACGGTTTCTTTTCACAAAGATGGCCTCCTTTACTCCTCTCTCAAACCATCGTTCCTCTCTGTCCAGGATGTGAACATCTTCATCCCTGAAAGAGTGACCGCTGGCCTGGAGATGAGTGTAGACCGCAGAGTCCTGGCCTGATGATGTTGATCTTCTGTGCTGGGCCATCCTTTTGGCCAGTGGCTGTTTAGTTTCCCCGATGTAAGACTGATCACCCTCCTGACACTGAACAACATACACAACATTACTCTGTTTGTGCCAGGGGACTGGATCTTTGGGATGAACCAGTCTTTGCCGTAATACGGCAAAGTATTAGTAGCTAAAAGCAGCAGATCTGTAGCTAAAAGCTAAATGGAAAGGATCGACCTGAACCTTTTGAGATGTGAATGGTCCAATAGTTCAAAGTGCTGAGAAGTAGTTTGACTCCAAAACGATGTAAGAAGAAACTGAAGAATTCTGACTGGGACAAAACCAGAACTGGTCCCAGGTTTTACTAGCTGGGGCCAGCGTGTCGCAGAGACTTACCGTGGAGGTGAGCGAGCGATCAGCTCCGGCGTTCAGCAGGGTCCGGGTGCAGTCCAGCCTTCCTGTCTCACAAGACAGAAAGAGAGGGGTCTGTCCCCCCGCCGCCACCATGTCCACAGCAGCTCCTGCAGCCAGTAGACACTCCACACAGCTGCAGAGAGGAAGACAGGTTTAAAGAGACAAAACGTCCAAAACATCCGTCTATTTTGTCCACCTGCTCCTCCTGTTTGGATCCGCTGGTGTCCATCTCCAGCAGTCACTGTGAGAGAAGTAGAGGACACCATGGACAGGTCTCCAGTCCATCACAGGGACACCTGGACAGGTCTCCAGTCCATGAAAGGGACACCTGGACAGGTCTCCAGTCAATCACAGGGACACCTGGACAGGTCTCCAGTCCACCCCTGGGACACGTCGTGACAAACATTCTCAGCTAGGGACAGTTTAGAGTTACCAATGACCCTAACGTGCACGTTAGGACAATGATTATGATTAATTGATGTTTTGTCTTTTTTAATTCTGGTCAGTTTCGATTTTGTTTCAATGTGTGGGTTTTTCTTTAAGGAAAGGGTAAAGGTTTGTCTTCTGTACCCATGGAAACTGCGATGACCGAGGGATAGAGTTAAAAATATGAAGCATGCTGCTGCAGTGGTTAGCACAGTAAATGTTTGTAGTTTTCCAGACGAGGAATGAAAGTAAACCTAAATGTTTTTGCTCCAGTATATTCCAGTGGGGAGGAGTTACACGTGGAGGAGAACAGAGGGAGGTGTTTCATTCTTTTGTCCGAGGCAGAGCACAGTGACGGCTCCTGGAGAGGAGGGAGACATTTTTATCTACAACCAGCTGCAGTGGAGCAGCCAGAGGGTGGACAATGGTGGCCTCGGCCCCATAGATTAATCTTCACACAGCCCAATCATTTGAGGAAACTATACTTTTAAACACAATAAAAATTAGAAAGCATAGTTTCCTTAAATGATTGGTGTAGGCAGTTTGCATACAGTATATATATATATATATATATTCTGGTGGCCATTTTGAATCTCAATGTAACAGCCCACTTGGCTAAAGGTACCTTTCTTACACCTACAGTAGATGCAGCACATACTGAAATGGAAGTTGGAACCTCACTTGTTTTTCAAGTTATCCTGCTCACAAGACAGACACACTGATGGACAGAGGGTATTTTATCATGTCGTGTCTTCGCGCTACAACAGCAGACAAAAAAATAAGGCATGGCTGAAGACTTTTGCACAGGGCTGTAACTCAACGCTCGACTGTCGGTGGAGCAGAAAGACTGAACTCCAGATCATCAGGCAAACTGAAGCAGTCTGCTTTAATAAGCTTTGAGTCACAAACACAAAAAAACACCGTCAGCAACACCGAATAAGCTGAATGTGTGTGTGTGTGTGTGTGTTTGGGGGGGGTCTCTCTAAATAGAACGGTGATCAGATATTACAACGCTGCACATTCTCCAGCTGGGCCCTCGGCGTCGATCCTTTGGGGAGAACGGAGTCTGGCTGTGAGATCGGGACTCCAGAGGTTAATGGGAGCGACCAGAAGCCACTTGTTTCTCTCAGGGATGGGGAGACGCCTGAAATGTTTCAGGGCGGGAAACTCAACTGGTTTAAATTTATGAAGCCCTAAAATGGGAATAACTGAGAAGAGGGAAAATGCTGCGGACGAGTTTCTACTTCAAACGATTAGATATTGATCAATGCTATGATTGGAGCTGATTTGGTGGACCTCACATCTGCTTTGGACAACATCGACCATGAGATCGTCATTTCCAGGCTGGAGCGGTGGGTGGGCATCACAGGGTCAGCTCTCAAATGGTTTAGATCCTACCTCCCTGACAGAACCTTTTGTGTCAACACCAAGGATTTTATTTCAACACGGGCAGCTCTTCGGTGTGGGGTACCGCAGGGATCTATTCTCGTTCAGCTTCTCTTTTCTTTATACCTGCTGCCACTAGGTGCTATTTTTCGTAAACACGGTTTACATTTTATGCCGATGACTGTCACATTTACTTCCCTCTGAAGCACAGTGGTGCACGTTCTTTCCAACCTCTTCTTGACTGCCTGGTTGACATCAGGGACTGGATGGTTAGTTTTAATAAGAAGACTGAAGTCATAACGGCATGATCAGGAACCACTGCATCGACAGGAAAGCATCGACTTTTCCTCTCTAGCCCCATTAGAGAAACAAAGAGTCTCTAATCTGGGAGTGACAATGGGCCTTTCCATGAAACTAAACAGTCACGTGAACACGACTGTTAAATCCTGTTTTATTTTTTCTACTGAGGTGACTGTCTAAATTGCTTCTGTTTGGAATCAGTCAGTCCTCCATTGCACGATTGCAACTGGTCCAAAACCGATATTTAACTGGTGCAGGCAAAAGAGAGCACATTTCTCCAGTTCTGGCCTCCCTGCACTGGCTCCTGGTTCACTTCTAAATTCATTTAAAATACTGTATGCTTTTTAAATCACTGAACAGTTCGACCCCCTCCTATATCTCCTGATCTGCTGCAGCCATATGTCCCCCAGCGCTCTCCGAGGTCAGACCAGATGTTTTATTGGTTCCAGTCACTCGTCTTGAGCTCAGAGGTGACAGAACCTTCTCTGCTGCAGGTCCAAACTGTGGACTGAGTTACTACTGCAGGTCAGGCAGGCTCCCTCTCGCTGGTTTTAGGTCTCGTTTAAAAACTTTTATTCCCTGGATTTCCACCTTGTATGAGTTGATTTGAACTTCTCTGTATTTTATAATGTCAGTCATTTAGTTCTTATCTTTTCTTCTGTGGATCCGTGTATTTTATCTTCTTGGCTTGTTTGTTTCTGGTGCACAGAACTTTGCTCGGCCTTGTTGCAGTGTTTACGTTCTTTATAAATAAAGTGGAATGGGAAGTAATGAGCTGACTTTTGGTGCTCAGACCCGTTCTTGTTGGACCCCACGGGCGCAGCTGTAACTGTTTCCACCACAGCTGTGTCTCATCTACGTGACAACACAAAGCAGCGCTCACCTGCTGTGGCCATGGGCGGCAGCTAAATGTAACGACGTGAATCCGTTGTCATCCGAGGCATCGGCAGGTAATCCTGAAGACAGCAACAGCTTCACACACTCTGGTGGAGAGAGGGACAGAGCCGGGTGAGGGGGGCTCGACATGATCAAATCAGTGCAAACAGCAGTCCATACACAAGGCGAGCACAACATCAAATACGCTGCACTTCATTACTACTCTTTACTATGATGCCACAAAACAATGAAAATTACACGAGAAACAAGAAAACTCGTCAGTCTTTGGAGCGCTACAGCTGCAGACGACCGTAATTACCGGTCTATAGAGCGCACCCGATATAAGCTAAGGGTTGAACGACTACATATTTTAAAAGTCCACTTTAACGTGAAAAAAGTTGAGAGGATGTTGACTAGTCCATGACGTCATAGGAACTCAAGACACAAGATGATATTCGCAAAAAAAGTCACTTATTATTTACACACAACAAAAGAACAACAAAACATCAGGTGTATATTTATGCTCCTACCATTTATCAAACTGCAAATAAATCACAGGAAAACTAAAACTATTATTAAGCTGCAAAAGTGAAAGACGTGTTGCACGTAAAAGAACAAGGCTAAGAATATATATATATATATATATATATATATTGGTAGACGGCCATGCACGTCCACTGACGCAGCAGCTGGAAAGCTTGAGGTGGTTCGCTGGCAGTCATCCATCTTTTCTGTATCTTTTAACCGGCCGGCTGCTTGATGCAAATTGGATCGTCAGCCACGTGTGTCCGCTGACGCAATCAAACGCCCGACACCGACCCGGCCCGCCCAGCCAGCACATTATTTTCTCGGGTCGGGCGCGGCCGTGTTAGAAATGGCAGCTCTATCTCCCTCTGGTTTTAGTTTTATTTGATTTAATCCAGCACGTAGAGTGGGTAGGCCTGGACTCCCTGCAGCCACACCTAAAGCAGCCTGTTACCAAGCTCAGGATGGCTTTAGACTTTAAGTTTAATAAACACATCAACTCTGTTCTTCAACAAAGCTTCTTTCAGTTAAGGCACAAACCAAACTTTAGTCCGTGCTGACCAGATCTGACCTTGAAATATGAGTCCATGCCGTCGTTACAACCCGGCTGGACTACTGTAACTCACTTCATGTTGGGGTCAGTCAGGCTTCGCTTTCACGTCTCCAGCTCGGCTCTTAACAGGAACTGGCAGGTTTGAGCACATTTCACCAGTTCTGTCCTCCCTTCACTGGCTCCCTGTGCGTCAGAAGTGATTTAAAGTTCGCCTGCTGACATTTAGGTGCATTAACGGACTCGCACCCTCAGACTTCTCCGACCTTCTTCATCCTTATGCTCCTTCTCGGGCCTTGAGATCATCAGACCAGCTGCTGTTGGTTGAAGCTCAGAGGAGATTGAGCTTTTTCGGTCGTGGCCCTAAACTGTGGAACGATCTGCCCATCAACATTCGACAGTTCACCTCAGTCTCTGCTTTACATCTCTCCTGAAAACTCATCAGTACTCAGTCAACACAGGGTGATCGCAGCTGATTCAGTATTTCATTCTTTCTGATAATGTTTTCTGGTTTTATTCCATGTGCTGTAATTCTATCTCGTTACTTTTTATTTGATGCTGTGATCTTTTCCTTAAGCACTTTGGCAACAGTTTCTGTTTAAATGTGCTCTATAAATAAATCGGACTTGACTTGAGGTGCCGGCTCGAACTCAATGGACTGAGTCTCCTCTAAGAGCAGTGGACAGAACGGGCTCAGCTGCAGCTCATACGAGTACTGAGGCCTGAGCTGTGCACGTGAGCTGCACCGAACCTTCAACCCTGCACTGTGCCTGCTTCCAACTGATGAGTCGTGTGCACGCCGGTCCGTCAGCTCGGAGCCTGTACGACCATGAACACAGCAAGCACGAGATTCAGCTCGAGCCTAAAGGATCCTGCAGGTCTGGAGCAGAAGCTGCTGTGGCTCCTTTATGAAGCTTCCAATCAACCCAACACAAAAAAACGTGCACTGTAAAGTTTTAATGTGCACAAGAGAGCACATCAAACACACAAGCACGGTTATTGAACATCTGTCGAGCCCGTTTCTGCAGAGTAACGACTGGGATAAATATAGCAGAGAAATGTCACAGGGTCAATCTTTGACTACGTCCAACACAGCAGCGCTCACGGAACAAGAACGGACACTCACTGAAGTACACAAAGTACTCTGGTATACTCCACAAAGGAACACGACTCAAGTACACAAAGTACTCTGGTATACTCCACAAAGGAACACGACTGAAGTACACAAAGTACTCTGGTATATTCCACAAAGGAACACGACTCAAGTACACAAAGTACTCTGGTATATTCTGCAAAGGAACACGACTCAAGTACACAAAGTACTCTGATATATTCCACAAAGGAACACGACTCAAGTACACAAAGTACTCTGATATATTCCACAAAGGAACA